ACATGACAGGAAGCCAGCAGGCTCCATCACCATCGCCACTAGGTCAAACTTTCTCCAAGTTTTGTTTTTTTGGCAGTACTGGATTTTGAACTCAGGGCTTCGGTTGCCAGACAGGTGCTCTATCACTTGAGACACCCCCAATCCTTTCTTTTGCCTTTACTTATCAGATAGGGTCTCCCACTTTTTGCCAGGGTGGTTTCAGACTTCAATCCTTTAATCCTCCTGCCTATGCCTCCCTTGAAGCTGGGATGACAGGCATACACCAGCACACCTGGTTTCGCTAACTTTCTTTTTTTTTTTTTATTTATAAATCAGTTTATTTACAGATTTTTATTTTTCTTAAAGTACTTTAGTTTTTTTTTTTAATTTTATTATTCATATGTGCATACAAGGCTTGGGTCATTTCTCTCCCCTTTAAAGTACTTTAGTTAACAAATCTATTTACGCAGGTGAACATGGGAATTCATCCCAGTTATTTTACAGATCATACTTACAAAGCACAGCCCTAGTCTTCTGTGTAGAGCTGCACTGGATGTGACACTGGCTGAAGCAGCCAGTGGGCCGGCCATTTACACATACACAGTAAACGGGTTTATTTTTCATGTCTGCACAGTACAGTACACAGGAGGAGGCTGTACACAATGCCTTGCAATGTGTTTACCAAGAAGGCTTTGCAAAGTCCAGAATTTCACTAACTTTCTATCTTGGAACGTAGGGCTAACCTCAAACTGAGATCCTCTCGATCTTTGACTCCTGAGTAGCTGGAATTACAGGTATAAACCACCATACCTGACTAAATTTCTGACTTTTGGAAAAGCCTTAAACATTTGTACCTCACAGAGAACACCCCTATAAGTTTGTTGATCAAGCTTTCAAAATTAAGTCACAATCCTCAAAAGGTAGTTTCAGAGGCCCGTTCAATTGATTTCAGAATCCTACTGCATTTTGGGACACAAAAAGAGGAAAGTGTTCCTTAGAAGTCACCCAGTGAGTTTCTCCTACTTCTCCTTGTCCAGAGGTGGGCCACATGAGCACCCTTAGGTGCAAGGAGGCTAGGAAACCAAGTATCAGTCTTCTCAGCTGCTTGACAGGGAGGTAGGAAGGGAACAGGGCTCCTGGGGATGGCTGCTGTGTAGCCAGCAGCAATTTCTGCCAGCCCTCTCCAGTCTCAATTTGTCTCTCTTTTTTTTTTTTCTACCTAGCAACATTCAACTTCTTCAAACTCTGCATTTACTATAAATGGCAAGTCAGACGTCAATTAGATTCCGGTTATATATTTTTGGCACAAATATTCAGAGGGGATGCTGCATCAGTAATGACCAGGTTCTTCACTAAATTACAGTGTTCAAGATGGAAGCTGAGGTGGGATACCATCATTGAAAAGCCAGCCCAGGGCCAGATACAGTGGCTCCTACCTGTAATCCTAGCTACCCTGGACACAGAGATCAGAAGATCACAGCTCAAGGCCAGCCCAGGGGAAAGAATTATCAAGACTCCATCTCAACCAATATAAAATTGGGTGTGGTGTTGCGTGCCTGTCACCCAGCTACACAGAGATGCACAAATAGGAGGATAATGGTCCACACATAAACCTGAGATCCTGTATGGAAAAGTAAACTAAAACAAAAAGGTCTGGGAATGTGGCTCAAGTAGTACAGTGCCTGCCTGAGTTCAAATCCCATACCATCAAAAAAATAAATAAATAAAAAGAAAGAAAGAAAAGAAAAGCCAACTTGGAACCTAGATTTGTCTCCTTCCAAGAGCAGTCTCGGTGGCTCCATATATATTACATATCTTATCCTGATGACAGCTCTGGTCCCTCTATGCATCCATTCTGGTAGTCTCGGAATTGTGTGAGTTTCTCAGAAATGTAACTTCATTAAAAGAGCGACTAAGATGATGAGATGACTTTGAAAATCAAAAGCAGGAATGTCGGACAGGAATTCTGTCTCAATGTCAACCTGAAGTTCCAGGGCTTTTAGTGCCATGTCGGGATGGAGGGAAGGGGAGAAGGACATTCTGAGTCCCTCACCACCAAGGCCTGTGGCTCACCCACCCTGGTCAGATGTGGAGGCCACACTAGGTCCATATGCACGGTCCTAGCCAATGGCTCCCCTAGGGCCTTCTCATATGCACTCCTGATTTCTAATCTGCTTCAGGCTGTGCTGCCTGCAGTGGCCTCTGTGTCCCCACAGAACTAAGCATCACATGCAGTCATTGAATGGATGCCCCTGCTCCCTATGGAGCAGGTGGCTTCGCTCCTATTCCACGGGGAACATCCAGTGATCTTCAAGGAGAGACATTTCCATAGCTGTCTTCCCTTCCAAGGACCCCTTGCCCACCTCCAGCTCTCACACTCCCACCTCAATGGCAGCGTCTCTTACCCTGACATTGAGTCATCCCTGCCAATGTCACCTCGGACACATCTTCAAAGAAAAACTCACCCTCCACCCAGCTTCCCCAGATCTGCCGAAGGCGGCCCTACCCCTCCCTCCCTGCAGGCTGTAAAGGAGGCGCCAGCTGTGACTCAACCCGCCCATCCAACCAGTCCTGTGTCCTAACACTCTTCTGTGGCAATGACTTCCTTAACGTGTCTCCTTCAGCTGCCAGCCCGGTCTGGCTGCCACCATGGTCCTTCCTCGTCTTCCAGCCCTGGTCCTGTCTCCCTTCCAAGCCTGTCTTGCCTGGGAAGCCCCATGCCCACTGATGGCTGCACAGGGATCGGCGGTCCTCTGCTGAGCTGGCCTGGCCTTTCTGTTCCACCTTATCTCAGGTCCATCTGTTCCAGAAACCTTGGACTTTATCGCCCTCTCTAATGACAGACATGCCACCTGCCAGGTGTTCACAGCCATTATTTTTTGCCTTTATAACTCTCGTGGAGCATAAAATTTATCATTTCTTTTATAGACAGAGAAGACCAAGGCTCAGAGAATCAGGTCACATGCCTGGCAATAGCAGAGCCGGGAGTCAACCAGATCCAGAGCCCTTGTCCTGCACGTCTGAACCCATCACGGCTTCCCTCCTTTGGAAGGCGCTCAGGAATGGTGCTCTCCCTGGCATCCTCTGTCCTCCTCCACTCTCTCTCACCTCTTAACTCTTCCAGCAGCAGTCTCAGCCTTGCACAATTTAGGACTTAATTGCACATTGCCTGGCACAGGTCTCTGGATATCCTGCATTTGCCCATCTGGTTCCCAAGAAGCCTGAGATAGGGGGTGGAGCTTCTTTTTGTCCCACCCTGGTCCACAGGGAACTGGCCCCCATTCCCAGTGGGGCTGGCCTGACTTCCCAGGATGAAGGGTCTCTGCTGTTCCTCTGATGGCTCCATCCTGTCATACCCCAGCCATACAGGACACCTCATAGCTCTGCATGCGTGCACACACATTTCTCCTGCTGCACTCACATCTAACAAAGAGTTCTCTTCCCCAGTGGAGGTAACTTACGTGTCTGAAAAGATCTACCCAAGACAGGACACTCCCTCCTTATGGATCCTGGGCATTGCGCTCATTGTGGAATTCCAGTTGGAATCAGTGAGGCCACCCGAGTTGGTGGGAGCTCCCAGAAAGCCATTGATGTCACCTCCTACAGAGAGGCTGGGGCTGGACTGGGAGTTGGGGGTGGAGAGGGACTTGGTGTCTTGATATGAACTCTGATCCTGCCGTTGTGTGGTGGTAGGAGTAGTGGGATGAGATCTTGCCATGTCAGAACTTTGTGGTGAAGCCTTCTTCCTAGGGAGCATGGCGGCAGCCCCTAGACCTGATCCTAGTCCCCATGTGCCACCTCCCTTACCAAAGCATCTCTGTCCCGACCGGGACACCCCAGATGGACCTCCCAAGCTGTTCATCATGAGTTAAATATTGCCATTTCCAACTTTTCACTTCAGAGCAGGGAGAAGAAGGTACAATATGAAGGCTCCTACACATGGAAAGATCTAGATTTCAGGTTGATTTCCTCCCAGACACTTAGGAGGTAACATGAGGGTTTGGGGCTTGGTGAGAAGGTGCTGACCCAGGGTCAAAGGAAGCAGACAAGGCCAGGCATGGTGGTGTATGCTGTAATCCCAGCACTCAGGAAGTTGAGACAGAAAGATGGTGAGTTCAAGGCCAGTCTGAGATACATATTGAGTTTGAAGCCAGGCTCTCAAAAAAAAATTACAAAGAATTAAATAAAATAAAACAGAAAGGGAGAAGAAGGGGCTGTGAGAGGTGGGAAGTTGTGGTGGGCAGAACCCCTGAAGCCAAATTTTTCTTCCTTTATGATTTTCCCATGGCTAATCCTAACGAGAGAATAAACAAGCTAGTGAGTAAACAGGTGCTTATGTAAGAAGTCAAAATAATCAGGTACACAGCACACTCCACACTGCAGGAGGAGCCAGGGAGGGGCTGTGTGTGGGAGGAATGTGGGAGTTGTGACACGGGAACTGTGTGCCCTGCTCAAAGCCAGAGCCACAAAGCAGCCCAACCTCTGTTGGGGAGGGGACACAGGCGTCCTGGAGGGAGGCGGCTTGTCACTCCTTCCCTGCAACAGCGTGTTAGGGAGGGAGGGAGGCAGGCACACAGAAAGCCACTGGCAGAGGTTTTGCAACTGGGTGCATGGAGCCTCTCGCTGACAGCTGGGCAGTGCCCGCCTCTCTGAGCACAGTCCTGTGCAGGGAACAGTGAGCACCGAGCCCAGGGCTAAGGAGCCTGGGCCTGAGATGAGTCCCAGCACGCAATGAAGCAGCACAAGGTTCAGGACCCTGTTCACACATCTGGGGCCTTCTGCACCTTGACCTGGGGCCAGGCACCTTACCAGCCTTGGGGCCGCCTTCTGGCAGAGCTAAACAGGCCCAGGCAGTGGCTGTCTGAGCCTTCCGTGGGTGCCCGGCCAAGCCAGCCACATTCCAGGCTCCAGGCTGTCAGGGAAGCTGGGAACAAGTTCTCACAGGGAGTGGCCAGTGGAGCTGAGGCAGCCAGACACCCAAGGGTGGTTCCTGCTCCCTGCGGAGGCCAGAGGCCCAGAAGATGGAAGAGCAGGTGTTCAAGGGGGACCCGGACACCCCTCATTCCATCTCCTTCTCGGGCAGTGGATTCCTGTCCTACTACCAGGCAGGGGCCGTGGATGCCCTGCGAGACCTGGCGCCCCGGATGCTGGACACAACCTATCGCTTTGCAGGGACGTCAGCAGGTGCGGTGATCGCAGCCCTGGTCATCTGCGGGATAGAGATGGGTAAGGCTTCTGTTCTGGGCTCCCAGGAGAGATTCTGGAGCCTTGGGGATGCTTTTGGGGACAAAGTCACACCCGGGAGGCAGGAAGGGAAGATTTGCATCAGGTTGCAGCCTCAGCTCCACTGGCAGAGAGCTGATGGCTCTCATCTCCCACGAGGTCCTTAGCTGTGAGCTAACCTGGGTCCTGGGCTTAGGGGAAGGAAAGGCAGCCTCTCTCTTAAACACACCAAGGTTAGATGTTATGCCAGTCTTAGGTGGGTGGTGTTGCCCTGGCCCCTTTCAAAATGCAGATGCCCTTGGGAGGGACAAAATTTCAACTCTTAATCAGCGTGGTGCAGTTTCACCCCTTCAGGTGCCTGAAGGTTAGAGGGGTAGCAGAGGGACCAGGAGGGAGACAGAATGTGATTTATTCAGATCTGTGAATAAATCACAGCAGGACAAGGCAGAGGATAAAGTAGAGACTATTTTAGAAAGGTGGTAAGGAAAGACCTTTCTGAGGAGGTGACATCCAAGCAGAGGCCTGAGCAATGTGAGGGGCGAGTCACCTAAAGGTGCAGAGGAAAGACGATCCTGGGGTCTAGAGACATGGAGCGGAGGGGGCGGCGGGAGGTGAGGTCACAGAGGCAGCTGGGCTGGCCTGTAGCCACAGCAGCCAGCTCTGCCCTTGTTCTCACACCGGCTAACATGAGCCAACTGCTTATGACAGCATCCGACACAGGGAAGCCATCAGAAACCATCCACTATCGCAGTTGTGGGGGGCATTAAGGACCCCCAACTCCTGGGCAGAGCAGGTTGGAAGAGGCAAGGTAGAAATGAGGTAAGGGACGAATGTGGCACGTGGTGCGTGACTGGTGGTAAGGACAGGACAAAGATTGAGTTTAGGGTGCACTAAAGAGGAGGAAGAAGCTTCAGACAGTCCCCTTCATCCAGTTCGTGCAGGCCACCTTCCTGCTTGGGACCTCTATGCTGGGTGGGGGGTCTTTATTTTAAATAGTAGTAACATTGTCCACTACTGAGCGCCTCTTGCAAGAACAAATGGTTCAAACGATGGGAAAATATCTGAGTAAAATGTACAGAGTGGAAGGAGCCTCCTTCCCTGGCCACCTCCAGACCCCTCTCCATCCTGGATCTAGGGCTAAGAGCTAGATCCTTCCAGATCTTTCTTTACCCAGAGTCCTCTGTGAGTATAGCAGTTAATGCCTCCTCACTCAATGGACCCTGGCCAGGCCTTCAGGAAGGGGCCTGGGTAAAACTATCCATTCCATGGGCCTGCCGTGCTCCCTAACCCTATCTCTCCCACCTTCTGACTTTTTTTTTCTTGTTTTTTGATGGCACTGGGGTTCGAACTCAGGGCTCCACACTTGCGAGGCAGGTGCTCTACCACCCGAGCCCCTCCCCCAGCCCCCGCTTCTGCCTTCTTATCAAGTTCTGAACAGTGAGTCATGGTGTCTTCACCCTCTGGCATTCAAAGACTTCAGAATTAATTCAGTTCATTTCATTTGATAAATATTGTCCAAAAGCTACTTGGCCAGGCTGTGCCGGGCAAGGGTCACAGAGGAGGGGAACTCGAGCCAGTGAAGGCCCCTTCTCTATAGAGTCGAGGACTAGAGAGTGCACGGCTTGTAATTATGGCAGAAGTTCAGGAAAGGGTTCACTTCCGTCATTTCACTGCATGTAATTTGCCATTAACCGGCTCTTCCTTTGTGTCCGGCCCTGCTCCAGGTCTTTGCCCTATTAACTCATTCAGGCCACACAACAACCTTCCCCAGTGAAAACGGTTATTATCCCAACTTACAGAGGAGGAAACTGAGTCGTGGAACACTTACATAAGTTACCTAAGGTCATAAAACAGTACTTGAACCCAGCTGGCTGTTACCAGAATCAGTGAGACTCCAGGATTGAGGTCTCCAAAAGGGAGGAGGCCTCCGCCTGGCCCTCGGGTACTGAGTTTGTGATATTGTCGCAAAAAAGAATTTAGAACACATTGAGGTAGACCAAGAAAGTTTATTAGTAAAGCAAAGCAAAGGAAAGATAGAAGGATAGGACACAGCCCAGACATGGGTGCGGCACATCTGATAACAGGTGCAAGGAGTGCCCTAACATTAGTGGGTTGGGGGTCTGACCCTAGCTTACCCGGGGGTGAGTGCTCCCCTTTGTTCTGGACACCTGGCTTGTCTGGTCGCTCTCATTGTCACACTGTCTTTTCCCCTAGGCCCAGAGATTTTGAGGCTGACCTGATTACTAAATTTTGTTGGTAATGACATGAATGCTTAAACATCCCCTTAAACAAAGTATGGGCTCTGCCAGACAGTCCCTTTAGGATAGTGTTCATCTTTGAGATAAATATTTTACTTTGCAAACGCTTCTGTGATCAAATGGATCACCTTCCCAAGTGTTTTTTATTACTTTTTCTAAGATATCCTTGCTCGGTCCCAGAGCACACTCACCACTTGGGCAAGCAGGCAAGGTCAGAGGGAAAGAACTGCTCTGGTTTTCCTCCTTACTCAGTGTTGCAGCATAATGAGGGAGTGTGAAGTTCAAAGTGAAGAAAATCATGTCTGTGTGCTTCCATTCCAGCTATTCATTAGCACATGTCTATCTCTGAATTGCTGGCTGCTGTTTCCCATGCCTCGATTCCCCTGATCTATCCTGGCTCCTGGCCAAAGTTGGCACTCTTCCTTTTTTATTTTATTATTATTATTTATTATTATTATTATTTTGGTGCGCTGGGATTTGAACTCAGGGCCTCGCTCTTGCTAGACAGGTGTTCTACCATCTGAGCCACTCCACCAGCCCAGTCATAGTTCTCCTTGGCAAAGCAGTGTCCAGGGTGGGGACACTGATTGTGTGGAGAGTCCGGGCTAGGTGGGGTTGTCACTCTGAGCAGGGAGAACCTAAGCCCAGACCTGAAGCGGATGAGAGAATGAACCCAAGAACATCTTACGGAGAGCAGTCTGCACAGGAGAGGTGACTTGTGTGGAGTACCAGCATCAGTTGGCGACAGAACCACAACTGGGTCTCGGGGCTTTCTTTAAGTCACCACACCCCATAAAGACTGTGTCACAACTCACTTAGTCGTTCTATTGATGGACCCACCCAGATTTGTGGTTGTACCCAATGTCACAGTGAACATCCCGGTCGTGTCTGCCATGCCCACGTGGCACACATGTCATTCTAGGGCGAGGTGTCATTAGCATGGCCACACTGCATCAAAGTGCTCTCCAACACGGCTGTTCTGATGTAGCCCCTGGTGGTACAGGGAGTTGGGCTCCTCGGTCCTTGTGTTTTTTCAAGAGAAGATTTCAAACAAGACGCAAAGTACAGTGAAAGTAATAGTGAAGTTGATTAAGAACAATACAGCTATGTCTGCTTTTTTCTTTTTCTTTTGTTTGGTGGCACTGGGGTTTGAACTCAGGACCTCGTGATTGCTAGGCGGGCGCTCTACCACGTGGGCCACGTCTCCAGCTGAAGGTACATTTTCACAGAGGAGAGCAGAGTCTCTCAGAACCGAACCGTCGGTGACGCACTTGTCTCCCAGACTTATTTGAGTTTAAGAGGAGTCTTTAGAGAATCTTTTCTAAATTTACCAAGACAGAGTTTTGGTTTTTTTAAATCAATTTTATCTCATCACAAACCCTACCTCAGTCCTTCTGAAGTGTACTGTTAGACTTCTGGATTTGCCCTTATTTGTCACTTTGGAACAATCCTTTGCTGTTAGGACAAAACATTATTTACATACAAAATCTTTTCTTTTCCAAAAATGCTCTCCCTCTTTATAACACCCTTTACATCTCCTCGCCTACTTCTTCTGTTTTGCCTTTTTTTTTTAAACCCAAACTATACTTGTGACAGAAAGAAACACAGACACCTGTCCACACAGCTGCAGATACGATGCAAACTTCACTGCTGCTTGAATTTTTACAAGGGGGTCTTTACACATGTGTTTTCCATTTATCATACATGAATCTGAGTTTGGAATGTTGCATTCCAGCTAGGGCTGGCTAAGATAACAAAACTTCCAATCAACCTTGAGCAGCAAAGGTACAAGCTTAGTACAAGCAAGAAGGCAGAAGGGAGAGAAAACACAGCTCCTGAAATCTGTAGGTGTTACCCTGTCATTGAAGTTGAGGATACAAAAAGCTTGTTGGTGGGTGAGTCTGTGGTCTTCTCAGACACAGGAGTGGGGAGAGTAAACCTCACTGTTGTGCAATTTTACAAGATAACAATCCAGAATGACAGTAAAACTGAAAAGGTGGTCCATCCACCCCCCATATCGGTAATGAATCAGGTTGGCTTACCAGAATCAGAGGAGAATAAAGTCACCTGTCCTAAGTAAGGAGTCTCCTGAAAGCCTCCTGGCTCGGCTCACCAAAATATGTCCCCAGATTTGGGCCATCTAGTGAGGGTGGGGGGCAGAAAGATCTTGGTTTCACCAGAGAGAGAATTCAAGGACAGAAGGACTTAAGCAGGAGCAGATCTATGAATGCAGAGTCAAAGTGCCCCTCCAGATAAGGAGGGTGGGCAGGCTCAAGAAGGCACAGTGTGCTTGAGGGGGGGAGTTCCCAAGACTCAGGCTTTTGCTGGGGTCTGTGGACATAGGGACGGTCAGTCCTGAAAAACAGGGTTATGTGACATTAACTTCCAAAGACTGGGCTGCGTGTCATCAATTCCTCCCGTATTTTGGGCAGGGACTATACTGGAGTTGTTTTTAGTCTGGGCTCTGGGGGGGCTTCAGGGAAGCAAGACCCTGCTGCGTGTCACAAGTCGTGCCATTAACACGGGCAGCCCATGAAGTGATTCCTCATGGATGCCCAAGCATGCAGGTGTCCTAACTTCCTGCCCAGCCCCTGTGTCACGAGCAGCTCATACGAATTCTCGTTCCCCTCAAGGAACTCTGGGTACTCAGACTGGAAAGTTTTATGTCACTCTAGCAGGAAATTTTCTCTCATTGGTTTTACATATTCAGTCTGCACGTCCCAATGGCGGGCGAGGGTGCGCCCC